TAAGAATTACATTTTTTTTAAAGATTTATTTATTTATGCATACAAGAGCTGGGTACAAGCCAGAGATGCGGTGGGTGAGAGTATTCACTAGAGACAGAGTGGGGATCAGAACAGGCAGATCTACTGAAATACATTGCTGAGGGGAGCATCATGCGAGACAGGAGAGGTCTGCTGCACCATGTGGGTTGCTCCCTGGCCGGCTGGGGATTGAACTCGTGCTGCAGAGGCTGCAGATTGCTTCATAGTGCGGTGCTTAACCCCTTGTGCCCCCAGGTAGGCCCTAAGAATTACATTTTAACAACCATTTTTATAGATCTTTATAAAAGGTTATAGATAATAATAACTACTTTTCACACCACTGAATCACTTTTCTGATTGACATGTATCATATAATTGGATTTAATTCATATTTTATTTCAGGTTTTCATTTGGTGGTCATATTAGAATAAATCCCACATGTCATGACTTGCTGTTGGTTTCCACTCTCCTACCGATTCAAACCCCCGGAATCCCTGGGTCCTGGAAGCGCCTGCGCAGACTCCTGGCTGGCAGCTTGAAGGTTTTAACTGAAATGGCTTATCCCTTAAGACCCAGGACTAGCTACTCCTATGAACTAATGGGATTATTTGGTCACTAAAATGCTGCCACGATATTTTTTTATAAAGTGACTTTTCAATGAAAACCATTTACTATGGATCAAGGGTTGCTAAACCGTTCTGTAAAGGGTCAGGGGGTGCATATCCTGGCTCTGGAGCCGGGTCTTCTATGAGGATGCAAGTCTGTGCACATGGTGGAAACAGCAGCGGCATTAACGTGGCTGTGGACAGCAGTATCATGTGCACCATGGGCCGTAAAATACTCTTCCTCATATGCTCTCCAATCATTTAGGACGGCAAAGCCATGCTTAGCTCATCGGGGGTTTAGGACTGGTCAGTGGGTCATCCTGAGCTCTCCTGGGATACAGATGCTAAAAAAAAAAAAAAATTGTGCTTTTCTTGACTGTTACCATTTCTGGGCAAAAGAGGAGAAAGTCTTCTAAAACACAGTCGAGTGATTTTTTTTATTGACACACACACTTCACACTGCTCTGACTGCAAGTTTTCTGAATTCTTACTATAATTCTCTAGACTTGAGAGATGAGACATATCATTTCTGGACTCTTCCCTGGCTGTGTTCTCATCCAGAGCTCCTTCTTCTGCATGTGGTTTTCAGTCCTTTGGATCTTACAGTCTGCAGAACTGGCTGCTCCTGCATAAAGACTCCCCTGTAAACTCTTCAGCTATGTGCCTGGTAAACCGCAGTATGCAGTGATCACCCAGTTAACAGGTTGCAGCTTCTGAAAGTAGAAAGGAGCAAAATTAAACCTGCTTTGTCATGGCGGGAATTCATGGGACACTTGTTTATCTTCTGGGTCATTCTCCCAGGAGCATTTAATACTTAACAGATGCGTAGCACGGGAAAACCAGCACTTCCATTTCATCATGTCAGACTCCCTAGCCAACAGAATTTTCTCCAGCTATATTATACATGCAATTGTGTTGTGGTTTCAGATCAAGAAGAAAATTATGAATGAGTTTCTCTAATTTCCTTGTACAACACACGGATTTGTCAGATAAAGTAGTGACAATTATAGGAATCCTTATGTAAATGTTTTAGTTGCTTTTTGGACTCTGGAAAATCAAGGCGTGAAAAATAAGCATCTGTGATATACACAGAGAATTTCCTTTCAGCCTAGACTTTGAGGCAGGAAACCGCACTCTGAGTGGTGACATGCAAGTGGCCCTGCCTCCCCATAACCCATGTCCCTTCCCCCAGCCCATGTTCCCTCCGAGTGTGCGGAAAGTGGGTCCGGGCTTCCTGGCCCAGCCCCAGGAGAAACAGCTCCCGCCATGACAGAGTGGCCATCCGCAGTGACGAGGGTTTCTTTCATGCCGGGGCTGAAGAAGGAGGTCAAAGGAAAGTGAACCAAGAGAGGCTCTATGATGCCAAGAATGATAATATTAGTAGCCCCCCATTTTCATAAGCTGTGCGAGATTGCCAGAGCCGGGCCACACATTCGGCTCCCCATTTTCCTACATATCTCAAAATGACAGCATCTGGAGTGGCTGGATCCCTGAGCTAGAACACGCCGTTGCCTCTGGAGAAACAGAGGCCTGAGAAACAAACAGAAAAAAGCAACAAAAACCCCAGAAGTGCCCTCTGGGACATCAGTGTGGGACTGAAGGATGACGTGGCAGTAGCCTCCTAGCACTGAGTTTCTCACTTTAATTAGAAAAGTGAGGCTGACGAATGGGATCAGGATTCGCAACCTCTCTGTATCTCTTCTGCTTGAATACTCTCACAACTTCTAGCAACTGCATAGATGCATATGTTTAAAATAAAATACATGCATGGCCTTGCGATCAAAGCAGTTCTGGGGAAGATGACTGGGGGCCCTGTCTCCCCTCCTCCCTCCAGCTCTGCTTTGACCTCCCCCGTCCTTAACACTGGCACTTTTGCTTGTATTTTGTCCAAGCTGAATAACACACGTATTCGGTTACACAGTCATAATTAAAACTTGTCCATTGTCAATAGTGTGACTATAAGGCTGCAAATCACGCGAGTGACCCCACATTCACTCAGCACTACTGGCAACAGCCAGGGGACAGCCTAAGTGCCCGAGGACAGAGGAACGGATCAGGAGGATGCGGATCAAGAGGACGCGGTCTGTGTGCTCGGTGGAATACTACTCAGCTGTGAAAATGAAATCCTGCCATTTGTGGCCACATGAGTAGAACTGGAAGAGATTATGTTAAGCAAAATAAGTCAGAAGGAGAAAGACAAATACCACATGATTTCACTCATATGTGTAATATAAAAAGCAAACCAAAGTAAACCTTTGAAATCTGACAGCAGAACCCAGGATGTAAGAAGGGGAGGGTGGGAGTTGGGGACCCAAGAGGGGAAGGGGAAATTTTCAGTGGTTTGGTGGTTTGGTGGTGAGTGTGGCTCAAGAATACTCGTTTGTAGAGACAGGAGCCTGTACCCCTGAAACTTACACAGTGTTGTAAATTAACATCACCTCATAAATGATTTTAAAGAGAGAAAGAAAACCAAGTGTTTATAGTGTTCTGACTCACTACACCTGGGTGTGCAAAGAAACGAAACTTCTGACCCTCCGTAACTGACGTGCTCATGGTCACGAGCCAGAGCGCTGGGAGGACACGGTCAATAGTCACAGGCCATTGAGCCCAGGTCCCCGAGACCGCCTGGCATGTCTAGGCCCAGTGACTGGCTTGGGACTTGGAGGCTCAGGGTAGAGTCACATGCAGCTGAGGGTTTACCCCGAGAGGACAGAGGGTGGAGCGCCAGGTGCGAAGCCTGGGGAACCACGACTCTGACTCTGGGCAGAGTCACATGGGGTACACTTGTCCCCCAGCAAGGCGCTGCCGGGTGACTGCAGAGACACTCTGATTCGGTGACCAGGGCTTTCCTGGGGACTGGGCACCCAGACACCCTGTGCCTAGCACTTTCTAGACGCCCCCCCCAGACTCCCAGAGCGAGAAGGTGGTGGCCGTGGAGACGCATAAGACACATAAGATCCCCTGGGTCGGGATCAGCAACGGAATGGGGGCCGGTCCCCAAATGCAGATGCCCAGGCCCCACCTAGGCCCAGTGGGGGAGCTGCTCTGCCGGTTCTGGGGCGCCCGTCTGCGCCCGCGGTTGGCTCCCAGTGTAACCAGGACTTCTGGTCGTGTGGGCTGTGGATGCAAACTCTGGCTCTTTCAGGTTCAGGTAGCCTCTTTAAGGTACATCTTTGTCTTCTGGATTTCCTCTCTCCCTCCCCCAGGTTTTCTCTGAAATTGTGTGTGTGTGTGTGAACAGGTGTGTTTAGGGACTGGGGTGTGTGTTGATGTGATGGTGTGAGCGTGTGACGTGTGTGTTGATGAAGGAGGGAGAGGGGTGAATGCTCCCTGGCCTGTGAGGGACCCTTGTACCGTCCGCTTTGTCACTAGTTTCTGCAGCAAGGTGGCCACGTGGTCACTTGGTCTGGACCCTGGAGTGGGTGGTCCTGGTCCCGAGGGCTCTGACCAGTTTTGCTCCTGACCGAGTCCTCTGCTGTGGCCACGGCGCCCTTGGTAGTGAACTCCACAGCTGCTCCCCCTTTGCCTGGCCTTCCTCTCCCCCTGGACACACCCCATAACCGGACACTGCCTCCCTGCCCCCAAGGCTGGAGATGCCACCCAACCCTCCAGGTGGCCCGCTGTGGGCGAGGCCCGGCTGGCCACTCGGGGCGTCCCCTGGGCTGTCCCACATTCTCCTGAACTCGGAGGCCTCCCCAGTAATGCTCAGTAAATGCTGCCGCCCCACAAGTCTCAAAATTGCTTAGTCGCGATTAGGCTGGAGAAGTTGAGGCAGAAACTCTGTCCCTGCGATCTGTGAGGGCGTGGCTCCTGCTTTAAATTCTATTCTGATGTTGGCCTCCAAGTAAGTGACCTGACCCTTCTCTCTAGAAGATTTTGAGATCTTCTGTTTATGGAAATTTAACACTCCCCCCCCCCCCCCGTCTTGCGGCTCCAGCTCCTTCTCCCCCCGCTTGAGCCCACAGCCTCCCATGGCCATGCAGGCGCAGGGGCCCCTCCCCAGCAGGTTTCCAGGAAAGCGTGGAGCTGGCTCAGCCCACGCCAGTCGTCTCCCCGCCATGGCACTGTGGGTGTTGGGTGCCAGCTCTGAGACGGCATCATGGCCCTGCAGAGCGTGGCAGGCCTGCTGCTGCCCCCTTTCTGCCCGGACGTGCTGGGCATCCTTTGCGCAGACCTAGGAAACAGCCTTGGCTTCTGAGCCCCCTGTGAAGTTGCCATGAACCCCAGGATCTGTGGACCATCCTTTGGAAACACTGAGCCCCATTCTCTTCATTATCGTTGTGTAATGCAAATTAAGTAGATTCTAGGAATGTGCCAGGGAATGCCTGTGTATTACCATTTGTACCAAAGGATGTGTTTTGTCTTGTTTTCTCAAAGGGTCCCTCGTGCTGGGAAGATGTCTTAGTCCCAAACCGGATGAGCGGGCAGTGCCAGTCTCCAGGCTGCCCTGGGACCAGAGCGGTAAGTGCCTGGACGTTCTTTTTATAACGCGGAAGCAATGGCGTCCCCGTAGTTGCTGGAAATGAGTGAGAGAGATGCAGCCTGACTTTTCTTCCACCTGATATTAATCACCTCAAGTGTCATAAGGTTCAAACGTGTTTGTGATTTTCCCAGCAATCCCAGTGTGTCCTCGCCTGCAAGCCGCTCTGCTGTGATGGTTTACACCCCAAGATACTCCCAGGCCTCCTTCGCTTTACCCCTTTGCACCTTTAGCAGTTTTCTTTTTTTTTTTCTTAGAGATTTATTTATTTATGCATACAAGAACTGGGGTACAGGCCAGAGGTGTGGGGGATGAGAGGATTCACCAGAGGCAGCATAGGGAGCAGAACAGGCAGATCTGCTGAGGGGAGCAGCAGGGAGGCAGGAGAGGTCTGCTGCGCCATGTAGGTAGCTCCCTGGTCGGGGATGGAACTCGTGCTGCAGGGGCTGTGTTAGCTTCATAGTGCTGCGTCTTAACCCCTTGCACCACCAGAGTGGTTTTCTGACCTAGGGGATGGCTCCAGAAGGTGGTGAGCACAGCCGGTCTGCAGCCGAGTGCTCTCTGGGGTCTCGCTACCTCTTTCTCTTGCAAACACAGGCCTCCGGTTTCACAGATACCAGGTGTTTCTTGAAAGGCATCCTAAATGCTGCAGTCACCTTAAAAATAATTGTGTTATTATGATCATTTTGTAATTTGTATGTTAAACTTTTTACCTTGAAAATCCTTGGATCCATCCCAATCTTACTGTACCTCTCTCCTGAGCTGGAAAGGTGTGAGGGAGCAAACACAGACACCAGGGCTAGCTCACAGCTCACCTCTCCTCCAAGGGGCACGCCTGTCCGAGGCAGTGGGTGAGGGTCTGGTGAGGTGCCTCTCCCTGTCTGCTGGGTAATCCCAGGATGCAGAGACACAGGAGCAGCAGCAGCCATCGTCCTCATCAGACCAGGGCTGGGGCCATGAACAGCGCTTTGTTACTGCAAATCTTAGAGAAGGCCTGGGGAAAAGTGAGGACGGTGTGACATTCAAGCCTGGATGTCACATGCAGAGCCCTTGAGTGTTGTTACAGATACGTGTGTACACCTGGAATATGTCTATGTTATAGTCTGCATAGTATGCAGACAAAATTAGCTTTAGCAACAATAGAATGCATGTTTTGTATGATATGTAGAGTGTACACGTGTGTATCCATGTCTGTACGCGTATGTCTTCCAGGCTGAGGGGCAGTGTTATGCTAAGATGTGTAAGCACAGTGTGTCGGTACCTGAGCTCGAGGCTTTCTGTGGTGGTACCTGAGGTCCTGAGTCGGTGCTGGGGATGGTTTAATCTAGCGATGCTGGTAGTACAGGGCCTGGCCTGAGACCGGGTCCTCACAGGAGGCTGATGCTTTCAAATGGGTCCTCAAACAGTGCCCCCAGGTAAACTTTCACGAGCCGGAACTAACATTCAGAAAAATCACAAATGGAAGCAAGTTGTCCTGATTAGGCTAGAGAGGTTGAAGTTGAAGATAGAAGTCGAAGTCATCAGGGAGAAAACAGAGCACACTTAACATGTGTGCAAAAGAAAGTGTTCCTGATGAGTGATTTTTTTTTAAAGATTTATTATTATTTATTTATACAAGAACCAGGGTACAGGGCAGAGGTGTGGGAGGGTGAGAGGATTCTCCAGAGCCAGAGCGGGGAACAGCACAGGCAGACTGACGAAATACACTGCTGAGGGGAGCAGCGGGCGCAGCAGGAGAGGTCTGCCCACCATGTGGGTTTCTGCGAGGCCAGCGGGGATCGAACCTGCGCTGCAGTTCGATGCAGGGATGGAACACGGGTCCCGGGTCCTGGGCGCGGGGCGTGCAGGGCGGAGGAAGGAACCGAAAGGCCTGAGGGCTCTTGGGGTGAGTCCCCCCTATCTTCACGTGGCCTGGACTCCCGCTGCTTGCCGAGACTGGGCTCGTTTATGTACATGCAGCTCGTCTGCTGCTAACAACACCCCAAAGAAACTATAAAAAGGCGATGCCGGCAACAATCTCCATGAAAGCAGGAGATGGCACATGAAAACCCCAGCGCAGGCCCGGGGGGAGGCCCTGGCGCAGCAGCAGGGGTCCCGCCAGGGCTCTGCGCAGGGCCCGCTCGGGCAGAGGCTGCGGACACTCGGGAAGCACTGCCTGTCGATTCACTGGGGGCGCCGCCAGCTGATACTTGGGGGACCCCACCTACCGACACTCGGGGTGCCTCCTGAAGACACTCAGGGGGCGCTGCCTGTAGATTCACTGGGGGCGCCGCCAGCTGATACTCGGGGGACCCCACCTACCGACACTCAGGGGTGCCGCCTGCAGACACTCGGGGGACACCACCTGCAGGCACTTGGGGGGCGCAGCCTGCTGACACTCGGGGGACACTGCCACATCCTCGGGGTGGGGCAGGCCCCCTTCAACTGCTGACAGATTTCAGCTCCCCAAGAGTGAGGCTGGCCCGCACCCCTTGCAGGACCACTCTATGCTCCCTGCATCCCAGGGGTCACGGCCGTGCAGCCCCGTGTAAAAGCAACGTATGACCTGACCCGGCCGACAGTTTTATTCCCGAAGGGGGTGTTGGCTTTACCACTTAGCAGCCAATGACACACATTTTGTTTTATATTTTTGAGACCTAATAGAGTCCTGAAATCACATGTAAAATAATACTTTTTGTTTTAGATTATTTGATTTTGAGGAGAGCTGAGCTCCTTCAGATGGAACCTTTTTTATCAGAAATAGTCGAGGACATCTTAAAATAGCTCCAAGATTTATTTCAAGTGAAATTAGATACTAAAGCTATCCCCTGAACAATAATAAATAACATAATTATTAAACTCGATGTAATAAATGGAGTTTTCATCTTTCTCAACATGCAATTTATTTCTTGCATTTTCCTGAGTTGGGCTCAGTGTATGTCAACTGGAACATTACTTTCAATAAAAGTTAATATTCATAGTCTCTGTCTCTGATTTCATCTTCTGGGGAGATGTTGACTAGGAAAAAAAATGAATAGTAAATAAGAGTCCCCTAATAATGAACAATTTTTATTTATAGGGCATTTGCATATTTTATGTTCCCAGATTTTCTTATTAATGTTTTAGTTTGATCAAATTACTATCCTCATAGGGGATCCGTATTTCTTTCGGTTGTTTTTGCCTTGATTAGAATCTCACATCACAAGACTCAATTTCTCGGGATGTTTTCCTAAGACAGACTCTCTGCTCTTATTTTTTCCAGTATCTGAGAATAATGGAAGGCGGGCTTTGTGTTTGCTTTTGAGAAAAGATGTCAGGTTGGCTGAGCCTCCCTCAGCTGGCCACCCAAGACAGACTTTACTTGCAGCAGGGAAGCGTGGACTGCTCCCCTGTCCAACACAGTCACCAGCGCCGCCACAGACCACAGACACCTCCAAGGACGAATTGAGACAATGACAGCTGTGCGGCTCCCAGGCCCCCGGGCGGCCCAGAGGGCCGCTGAGTGTGGAGGGTGGACGGGAAAACAGGAGCAAAGCAGAAGACACACACGGCCTCTCGTTCTGCCTGTGCTGGTCCAAGAGAAATGGTCTCTCTGCCTTTGCACTGTGCCCTGCTGTCGTCTTTTCTTCATTCTAACTAAAATTGAGCTGTGAAAGGTCTGAAGTCAAACTCAGATTGTGATGGAATGGTCTCTAAGCAGGACAAACATGTTCTCTATTGCCTGACATGCAATTTGGGTGACAAACTAGAAACTTCTCATAGCATTTTTCAAAAACCGGTCAAGTATTCGGACTCAAGGACAGTTCATTCTAAACCAAGGTTTGTGTACTTGGTAACAAGAAATGTCATTTTTTAAAAATTAAGGTAAAAATTAGAATATATTTACAGACAGGGTCAGTTAAAATTTTGAAAATTTAAAGAAAAATTTTTAAAAGTTATAGATAAAACAGTCTACAGTGAAAACAATGGTGTGAATTTTTAAGTGTTAAAGGGATTGAGAGTTTTATAGAAATTAGGTGTGTCTTTGTGAGGCTCTGAAGCCTGGACTCAATCCAAGTCAACTTTCCAGCTTTTTTATAACCTAGTAGAAAATTAAGTCAACAGGCATGTTCTTCGTGGTGTTGCTAAAGATTCCTGTGCACTATTACATGGAAATATCAGCCTCCTAGGTGAGGAGCCCAGAGCCCAGAGCCCAGTGCTTGTGGCAGGAAACCTACACACACAGGACAACCAGAATCCCCACCGCAGACCCGCCAGCTTGACCTCGGCTTCATTTATGATTCCACTTTTCAAGCCAATGAGCAGTTTCCATACTACATATTTTGAATATCAGAAATAGTTCTTGCCTTCTCAATTCCAAGGAAACTCCAGGTCTCTGAACATTATAAGTTGTTTCTTTTTTTTTTTTCACTTGATGATCTATAATTCTCTGTGCTGTAATTTGCCTTTTTTATACAGTGGAAGAAAAACACGCACAACACCACACCAAGACACAAGCAATTCTGAGCCTGTTGGTTATCCCCAGAAGCCTCCCCAAGAGACTTCTTCATTTTCCATCTTTTCGTGGAATGAGCTTAAGACCCGCTAGGAGTGTGGGGGTGGCAGTGAACGTCATGCTTTGGCTTTAGACAAGGGCTGCAGGCAAGCAAGGAACAAGGCTCTATCAGGAATCAGAAAAGGGAGTTCTTCTAGACCACGGGGTCTTAGATTAGGGGAGAAGATATTGTAATCTACCAGAACAGATAGCAGTGGATAGAAAAGATCATTTAAATAGATTTACAAATGAAATTCTGAGAATTGGTGCAAAAACAGATAAATACAGCTGTAAGCAGCACAGAAAGTTTCAACCAGGATGGGTAGATGGAGCGGTCAGGGCTGGAGGTCAGTCTGTGAGTCTCCCTGCAGATACCCGGGAGGCTAATGGAGTGAGGAGGATAGAGAGGAGATGCGAGAGTAATGGGCCAAGAGAATGAGGCCTGCTTCTCGGCTGGGAAATAGCCCT